GACTTGCCAGATCCGTCAAGCGAGGAAGACTTTGGAACTCCGGGGGCCAAATTCACGAAGCAGTTACGCAAACACTTACGAATCTGTACATCTTTTCTCAATCTTTGGCGGCTTTCTTTACAATTATTAAACATTTCATGAGCTCCGAAGCACCAGGAGGCTGTTTATAACAATAACAACAGTTGATTGGGAAGTTTTCATGCTTTTAAACTGTTCAATAAATGTAACCAAAGCTGTCAAAGACTGAGGAAAGATGTACACGTTCGTAAGTGCTTCGTGAATCCAGGTCCGGAATAGTGGAGTATAGGGACGTCTGGCGGACGGTGAGTTAAAGTCCCTTTATACACTTCGTCTAGGTTATTTCTCTATGAAGGGCTGTCGTGAGAACTTCTGCTGAGGTCCCCAAGACAATGAGATGTGGCCCTTAGACACTGGCTACCAAGACAGTGACGTTGCAAAGACTAGTAATTGAGATATATACAAGAGTTGTTACAGTCTTGTACAGCCACTAGTACGCGTAGCGTTTCGGGCAGGTTCCTGGAATACGATCCCCTGCCGCGAAGAATCGTTGTTACAACCAATTACACATTTTACTGTTGCGTTAAACAGAGGCTACAGTTAAGGATTTGCGCCCAGTAAATCCTCCCCGGCCAGGATACGAACCCATGACAAAGCGCTCGCGGAACGCCAGGCGAGTGTCTTACCACTACACCACAGAGACTGCGAAATTAATACGCCACCAAGACGGTGTGCTTTCACCAAGATCGTTAAACTCAAGACGCAAATATATGATCAACATCCTTTGGGTAACTAAGAATATGAGCTCTCGTCGCCAATTATATTAAGTTAAGAAGATGACATGGAGCTATATGCACTCTACTTTCACTAGATCAACCACCTCATCATGTTCAATCGGCCAGCGAGGCCTCGTTGCATCCCCTGGGTAATTATTCAGCCCAGCCTCGTTAAAGCAGCGGCCGTCCCTCAAAACTCTTTCTGCAATATTTACGTGTTGTGCATTAAAAATAAATTTGTTGTATATAAATTAATATTATTATAAATGAAAGTTCTGTGTATAGCTAGACGTAGGTTAGGTGTTTAGGCTCTGTTGGCGATTATTTGTATTTGTAGTACGTGGGTGAAGCATTTACAGCGTTGTGATTCGAACAAAAGTCGTCAGTGAAGCACTTGTTATGGAAGTGTTCGGACGTCAACAGTTGCGAGTCGTGTGTAAACCGTTTTTCATTCATAAACAGGGGGTTTGGCGGGTGCATGGAATCACTTTTGGGTCTTTGTTTGGAGGACGGGATGAGCATGTATAGAATTCTGGTTGGAACAGAGATCGTCAGTGAAGCATCTGTTCCGAAAGTGTTCGAACGTCATCGGTTGAGAGTCAGCCCGTCCTCCAAACAAAGAACCATAAGTGATTCCACGCACCCGCCAAACCCCCTGTTTATGAATGAAAAATGGTTTACACACGACTCACAACTGATGACGTTCGAACACTTCCGGAACAAGTGCTTCACTGACGAGTTTCGTTCGAACCACAACGCTATAAATGCTTCACCTACGTACTACAAATACAAATAATCACCAACAGAACCTAAACACCTAACCTAACCTAACCTATGCCTATACATGCACAATATGCTAATATATTATAATATTAATTTATACTTGAGAAAATTCCCGTTTTGAATGAACAGCATGTTAAAATATATGAATGCGTCTGTGGGGTTGACCGCTGAATGTAATGGACTCGAGTCGAGGACGGGTTGCTGTAAATGCTTCACCCACGTACTACAAATACAAATATTCGCCAACAGAACCTGAACACCTAACCTAACTTATGCCTACATATATACACAATATGCTAGTATATTATAATATTAATTTATATTTGAGAAAATTCCCGTTTTGAATGACCAACATGTAAAAATTTATGAATGCGTCTGTGGGGTCGACCGCTGGATGTAATGGACTTGAATCGAGGACGGGTTGGTTGACAGTCGCGTATAAATCATTTTACGTTCATAAACAGAGGGTTTGGAAGCTGGATTAACGAGCATTTACCCTTTGGTGATGAGGAGGGGGGGTGATTCGCGAGGAAGATAATGATGGAGCACGTGATACTCCTCAATCAGTCCTCGCAGCCATAAACTTGTCCATAAAATTCCAATATCAAGCTCATAAACTGGTGTATATCTCTTGGGTAAGTCTATGTCATAGTCATTTATGTGTAATAGTGTAAAAGCCTGTACTGTCACCAGGTTAGGTTAGGGTTTTTGACTGATGGCAATTATTTTTATTATATGTGTGAGGCATTTCTAGAAGTGGGATTCAAACAAACAAATCAGCGAAGCACTGTCCGAAAAAACTTCGAAAACAATTTGTTGTGAATGTGTCAAGTGTTTTTCATTTTTAAATTGCTGAATTAATGGACATTTGGAATATATTTTGCAGTCTGTCCTCACAAGCAATGGCCAAGGCTTATTTATTCAATCGTCAAACTTACTTTTCTTTTTGTGAATGAAAAACACTTTATACAAGATTCTCAGCCAACCCGACTACATATCATGTTCATTCCATCCAGCAGCCGACCCCAGTAACGCATTTATCAATATTTACATGTTTTTCTAGAAAAGTTAGAACATCATCAGTTGTGAATCAACTTGTCCTCATCAACAAAGGTAAAATGTGGATTCCTTATTTAAAATAATGATATTTTCATTCCATAAAGCCGCCAAACCCGCTGTTTATGAATGAAAACTGCTTTACATACGATTCACCAACCCGTCCTCGACTCAAGTCCATTACATCCAGCGGTCGACCCCACAGACGCAGTCATAAATTTTAACTTGCTGTTCATTCAAAACGGGAATTTTCTTAAGTATAAATTAATATTATAATATATTAGCATATTGTGCATATATAAGCATAGGTTAGGTTAGGTGTTTAGATTCTATTTGGTGATTATTTGTATTAGTAGTTCGTGGGTGAAGCATTTCAACCCGTCCTCGACTCAAGTCCATTACTTCCAGCGGTCAACCCCACAGACGCATTCATAAATTTTAACTTGCTGTTCATTCAAAACGGGAATTTTCTTAAGTATAAATTAATATTATAATATATTAGCATATTGTGCATATATAGGGATAGGTTAGGTTAGGTGTTTAGATTCTATTTGGTGATTATTTGTATTAGTAGTACGTAGGGTGAAGCATTTACAGTGTTGTGGTTCGAACAAAAGTCGTCAGTAAAGCACTTGTTCCGGAAGTGTTCGAACGTCAGCAGTTGTGAGTCGTGTGTAAACCGTTTTTCGTTCATAAACAGGGGGTTTGGCGGGTGCATGGAATCACTTTTGGGTCTTTGTTTATGAAGACGGGCTACAGATTAACGAACATTTTACCGTTGTTTATTCGAACGGGGCTGTTGTTTAATTACCTGTCGTTCGGGCCGAGCATCAGGTGTGGCAACGTCATCAACGCTAAGAGGCAAAACGGAAAAAAACTCGTTATCACTTTTCTCATTAGTGATCAGTCTATATTATTCCGTTCCTCTTATACATTGCTCTCGGCTCCGTTGCTGAGCACGGCTCTCAAGTCTTAATTACCAAAGTTTACCGCGTTACTTGACAGTGTAGCGTTACGGTGTACAGTGTAGCGTCACGGTGAACAGTGTGGTGTTACGGTGTACAGTGTGGTGTTACGGTGTACAGTGTAGCGTCACGGTGAACAGTGTGGTGTTACGGTGTACAGTGTGGTGTTACGGTGTACAGTGTGGTGTTACGGTGTACAGTGTAGCGTCACGGTGAACAGTGTGGTGTTACGGTGTACAGTGTGGTGTTACGGTGTACAGTGTAGCGTCACGGTGAACAGTGTGGTGTTACGGTGTACAGTGTGGTGTTACGGTGTACAGTGTAGCGTCACGGTGAACAGTGTGGTGTTACGGAGTACAGTGACACGGTGTACAGTGTGGTGTTACGGAGTACAGTGACACGGTGTACAGTGTGGTGTTACGGAGTACAGTGACACGGTGTACAGTATGGTGTTACGGTGTACAGTGACACGGAGTCCTCTCCCACCCTCTTCAGTTTTCTCTCCATGTTTCTCCTTCCCTTTTCCCTAACATTCCCCGCCCCCCCCCCCCCCTCTCTTTCCCACACTCAAATTCTCCCTCTCCTTCCCTCTCTCCATGCCTCTTCCTCTTCTCTCCTCTCTGTTCCTGCTCCTCCTCCTCCTCTCCCCTCACCAACTGATCGACGGTTTCGATTCATGCAGGTCGACGTTCAATCCCCGACCGTCCAAGTGGTTGGGCACCATTCCTTCCCTCCTCCGTCCCATCCCAAATCTTTATCCTGACCTCTTCCAAGTGCTATATAGTCGTAATGGCTTGGCGCTTTCTCCCCTCTTCCGTCTCCTCTCCTCTTCTTGCCCTTCCCACCCCTGCACCTCTTCCTTTTTCCTTCTTTCCTGTTCCATACCACCTTGGTGAAAAGCTGGAGTAAGTATCAAAACTCTACGGCAAACACAACCCCTGATTTCATATAGCAAACGTCATGAAAATCGCAGGGAGGAGTACTTAAGATGTCAATATTTCTTAAAGCATGGCACTTGGGCCGACCCCCCGACTAGCCTATGACACTCTACATCCGTATGTCATGTGTGTGAGTTATGAGCGGCTAGCCGGAAGCGTTTGGTCTACTACTTCATACATGCAGATAAACATGTATCCTATTTTATACATATAAAATTGTACACTGGCCAGCGTACTATGCAATATGTTCTTATTGAAATTTATAATGAACCAGAATTTTGCAAAACAAAAGACATTATGGATGCACAACCATTTATTGCAAATTTTTTAATTAACAAATTTAATTTAATTTGTAACAAAATTTAATCAGAGTTGAACTGTATTGATGAGGATATGTGATTTAATTTTTAATAACACGTCTGTAGAACAACACATCATAGGTGTTAAGCCATTAGCATACTTACTTTCCTGACAGTGTCAGTCGCTCGACAGTGTCTCTCTCGCTCGACAGTGTCTCTAGATCGACAGTGTTCCTAGATCGACAGTGTCTCTAGATCGACAGTGTCTCTAGATCGACAGTGTCTCTAGATCGACAGTGTCTCTAGATCGACAGTGTCTCTAGATCGACAGTGTCTCTCGCTCGACAGTGTCTCTAGATCGACAGTGTCTCTCGCTCGACAGTGTCCCTCGCTCGACAGTGTCTCTCGCTCGACAGTGTCTCTAGATCGACAGTGTCCCTAGATCGACAGTGTCTCTAGATCGACAGTGTCTCTAGATCGACAGTGTTTCTAGATCGACAGTGTCTCTAGCTCGACAGACTGTGAGATGTGTCGCCTGATTAGTTCTTCCTCGGGTGACGCAAGTGGTGATCGGAATGCCTTTTGGGCGGGAAGGCGTCAGCGCCCGCCACCATTGCGATCACTGCTGTAAGTGGGAGTCCTGGTGGTGGGGGACGTGGACAGTACCCGGTGTCCATCTATCCTTGGGACGGTCCCTCTGTAGCTCCGGCCTTGGTGGTTGTTGTGGAGGTGGAATTTGTGGTTGTTAGGTGGAGGGGGATTGGGTGGAGTTTATCCCACGTGTCCACCACCTCCCCCAGCACGTGGAGGAAGTGTCTCACTTCCTTGCTAACTAGCGCTGTCCCTCCCCAGGTGAGCACCGTGGGGGGAGGATGGGGGGAGAGGGAAAGAGAGAGGGGGCGGGCAAATGAGGGGAGAGTGTGAGAGGGAAGGCAGCGAGTGAGGGGAAGCACCGAGCACCGCGTCAGAGCAACAGGTCAGTCGCTCTGATACTGAGCTACCATCCCGTAGTGGTCTCCTTTCCCGCGCCTCTCTCCCTTCTCCCGCGCCTCTCTCCCTCCCTCCCTCCCTCCCTCCCTCACTCTCCCTCCCTCTCTCACTCTCCCTCCCATATGCCAACCGGAGGACCCTGGCAACTGCAGGCCTATTAACGCTGTATCCATCACATTCAAGGTTCATACAAGGCTTATCCTTTCATGCATCTTATATAAAACAACAAAAAGCGCACTCATATATATATATATATATATATATATATATATATATATATATATATATATATATATATATATATATATACCGACGTACAACGATTTTTTTACTTGTGTTGCTTTGACAAACTAACCAAACCTAACCTTCCTAGGCCTAATACACAATATCTGAGGCCTAATATAGTACATATGTGTGCTATACTAGGCCTAGGAATATTTAAATTTGATTTTTGACTTCATTTATATTAAAAAAAATTGTTGCTAGTCAGTACACTACTGTCTAAAAGTTAAATACGTACGAATTCGTGACTATTGACGACCGTCTCAATAAGTGCTGTCTAAACAGGAGGATGAGTTGTAAATCATCAGAAATCTACCGTTGGACTATTCCAATTATCTTTACATATGTTGACCAGACCACACCCTAGAAAGTGAAGGGACGAGACGACGTTTCGATCCATCCTGGACCATTCTCAAGTCGATCAGAATCGACTTGAGAATGGTCCAGGATGGACCGAAACGTCGTCGTCCCTTCACCTTCTAGTGTGTGGTCTGGTCAACATACTTCAGCCACGTTATTGTGACTCCTCGCCTTCATCTTTACATATTACCACTATAACACAAGGATAACTCGTCATCTATGTATCAGTATTGATTTTCTGGTACGTGACAAAAAACTGGACCAATTCATGGATGAGCTCGATTAGGGACACCAACCATTAGGGGGACAGGTTTCAATTGCAATTTAATGGCTATTTTTTTTGTTCTTCGATGAACGGCTGGACGCTATTCAGCCGAACCACTCTTGTTGGAGCGGAATCAAATTTGATCACGACTGCAAATAGCGCTGACATAGTTGGCTATTTTATCTTTTTCTTTAGTGCAGTTAAATTTATATATACACCGCATCATACAACCAGCACCATCACACTACATCGAAAAGTATTCGATATTACCAATTTCAGCGTCTATTAAAGAAAATTAATTAAAGTGTGATTTTCGAGCATGTACAGGGAAGATGCAGGCTTGAAACAGGCTAGAGGCAGGCTAGAAATAGTCAAGAAGTAGGCTAGAATCAGGCTAGAAACAGGCTAGAAACAGGCTAGAAGCAGGCTAGAAACAGGCTATAAACAGACTAGAAGCAGGCTATAAACAGACTAGAAGCAGGCTAGAAGCAGGTTAGAAACAGGCTAGAAGCAGGCTATAAACAGACTAGAAGCAGGCTAGAAGCAGGCTAGAAACAGGCTAGAAGCAGGCTAGAAGCAGGCTAGAAACAGGCTAGAAGCAGGCTAGAAACAGACTAGAAGCAGACTAGAAACAGGCTAGAAGCAGGCTAGAAACAGGCTAGAAGCAGACTAGAAGCAGGCTAGAAGCAGGCTAGAAACAGGCTAGAAACAGACTAGAAGCAGGCTAGAAGCAGGCTAGAAGCAGGCTAGAAGCAGGCTTGAAACAGGCTAAAAACAGGCTAGAAACAGGCTAGAAGCAGGCTAGAAACAGGTTAGAAACAGGCTAGAGGCAGGCTAGAAACAGGCTAGAGGCAGGCCAGAAACAGGCTAGAAACAGGCTAGAAACAGGCTAGACACAGGCTAGAAGCAGGCTAGAAACAGGCTAGAAACAGGCTAGAAACAGGCTGGAGGCAGGCTAGAAACAGGCTAGAAGCAGGCTAGAAACAGACTAGAAGCAGGCTAGAAGCAGGCTAGAAGCAGGCTAGAAACAGGCTAGAAACAGACTAGAAGCAGGCTAGAAGCAGGCTAGAAGCAGGCTAGAAGCAGGCTAGAAACAGACTAGAAGCAGGCTAGAAGCAGGCTAGAAGCAGGCTAGAAGCAGGCTAGAAGCAGGCTAGAAGCAGGCTAGAAACAGACTAGAAGCAGGCTAGAAGCAGGCTAGAAGCAGGCTAGAAGCAGGCTAGAAGCAGGCTAGAAGCAGGCTAGAAGCAGGCTAGAAGCAGGCTAGAAACAGACTAGAAGCAGGCTAGAAGCAGGCTAGAAACAGACTAGAAGCAGGCTAGAAGCAGGCTAGAAACAGACTAGAAGCAGACTAGAAACAGGCTAGAAGCAGGCTAGAAACAGGCTAGAAGCAGGCTAGAGGCAGGCTAGAAGCAGGCTAGAAACAGGCTAGAAACAGACTAGAAACAGGCTAGAAGCAAGCTAGAAGCAGGCTAGAAGCAGGCTAGAAGCAGGCTTGAAACAGGCTAAAAACAGGCTAGAAACAGGCTAGAAGCAGGCTAGAAACAGGTTAGAAACAGGCTAGAGGCAGGCTAGAAACAGGCTAGAGGCAGGCTAGAAACAGGCTAGAAACAGGCTAGAAACAGGCTAAAGGCAGGCTAGAAGCAGGCTAGAAGCAGGCTAGAAACAGACTAGAAACAGACTAGAAGCAGGCTAGAAGCAGGCTAGAAACAGGCTAGAAGCAGGCTAGAAGCAGGCTAGAAGCAGGCTAGAAGCAGGCTAGAAGCAGGCTAGAAGCAGGCTAGAAACTAAAAAAACAAACACGAACAAGATGAAGTAATATGGGAGAGAGAGAGAGTGAGAGAGAGAAGCACAAGAGAACCAAATGAAGGAAATAGAGAAGACGAAGAAGAGAGAACTTACAAATTCTGTCCTTTTCCCCGTCTCCTTTGGACTGGACTTGATCCTAAGACCTTCCCGTCAGACCAGACCGAAGAATAGGACCAGCACTCGCAGTCTTGGAGCGGCAGGACACTAATGAGTCCCGCGCAGAAAGGAATCCTTACAGTGTCTCACTGCTCCGTCCTATATAGAAGAAGAAAAAAATCCTTTCTCTCATGCTAGGGTTACACGGTGTCTGTCTGTCTGTCTGTCAGGGGCAGACTTGTGTCTGCAGGGGAGTGAAGGGGGGATTTATTTGTGGTCGTTGGGGTTAGTGTATATGTCTGCTGGGGCTTTTGTTTTTCTTTTCTCTGCTGGGGGATGGTTTATGTTTGTCCTAACTCGCTGAAATTGAGCGGTATGTACGTGTGTTAAGTTGTGAATGTTCTGCATTACTGATATATGATGTTACTGTTGGTGTCTGCTGGGGTGAGTGGTGTCTGCTGGGGTGAGTGGTGTCTGCTGGGGTGAGTGGTGTCTGCTGGGGTGAGTGGTGTCTGCTGGGGTGAGTGGTGTCTGCTGGGGTGAGTGGTGTCTGCTGGGGTGAGTGGTGTCTGCTGGGGTGAGTGGTGTCTGCTGGGGAAAAACTTTACAAAGTGAAGCAATTAAGTGCCACTACAGATAAGTGTTCATTTACCCCGTTAAACACTTTTCTTCCAATCTGCACCAGAAATTGCCCACTAGTAAGTCTACAGCTTACGACAGATCGTCCGGATTCGGTGGTTATCTTGAGGTTATCTTGAGATGATTTCGGGGATTTTAGTGTCCCCGCGGCCCGGTCCTCGACCAGGCCTCCACCCCCCAGGAAGCAGCCCGTGACAACTGACTAACACCCAGGTACCTATTTTACTGCTAGGTAACAGGGGCATAGGGTGAAAGAAACTCTGCCCATTGTTTCTCGCCGGCGCCTGGGATCGAACCCAGGACCACAGGATCACAAGTCCAGCGTGCTGTCCGCTCGGCCGACCGGCTCCCTGATAGTGTGGTGTGTTACTATTTGAATTCCTCTTGTGTTTGTCTTTTTACATTGATTGGAATTGTGGAATTTTATTTCCTATGGGAGTAACTTGAATTTTAACATTTTTAACTCGATTTTTATCTTCCACGTTATCTGTAAGATTCCTAAGATGTCGATAATACTCACCAGTATGAAGAGAGTTGCCTCTTGTCCCTCTTTATTCTCTCTTCGCTTTTCTTCCTCTCTCTCTCTTCCTTTCCCCTCTTCTTCCTCTGCCTTCTCCATATACTTCCTGTGCCTGCTCCCGCTACTGCATTAAAACCTGATATATTTCATCACATATGCCGGTAAAGCGCTGTTTAAATAAAGTCAAGATAAAGGCTACGCTTGACAAATCAATCAGATTGCACTTATTATAACACACACACACGCACACGCTCGCACACACGCACACGCTCGCACACACACACGCACTCGCACACACACACAGAAGGTCTTCAGGCCAGGCTGCTACAAAAAAATACAGATCGCGACAAAGATAATATTCACGAAAGAGGCCAAAGAGGAAATTCAAGCAAAGAAGCCCATACTGCAATGCGTAAAAAAATACAAAAAGACTAGTGTCTCCAGCCCCTCCGTACTCCGGTCCTTAGTGACGTCTCCAGCCCCTCCGTACTCCGGTCCTTAGTGACGTCTCCAGCTCCTCCGTACTCCGGTCCTTAGTGACGTCTCCAGCCCCTCCGTACTCCGGTCCTTAGTGACGTCTCCAGCCCCTCCGTACTCCGGTCCTTAGTGACGTCTCCAGCCCCTCCGTACTCCGGTCCTTAGTGACGTCTCCAGCCCCTCCGTACTCCGGTCCTTAGTGACGTCTCCAGCCCCTCCGTACTCCGGTCCTTAGTGACGTCTCCAGCCCCTCCGTACTCCGGTCCTTAGTGACGTCTCCAGCCCCTCCGTACTCCGGTCCTTAGTGACGTCTCCAGCCCCTCCGTACTCCGGTCCTTAGTGACGTCTCCAGCCCCTCCGTACTCCGGTCCTTAGTGACGTCTCCAGCCCCTCCGTACTCCGGTCCTTAGTGACGTCTCCAGCCCCTCCGTACTCCGGTCCTTAGTGACGTCTCCAGCCCCTCCGTACTCCGGTCCTTAGTGACGTCTCCAGCCCCTCCGTACTCCGGTCCTTAGTGACGTCTCCAGCCCCTCCGTACTCCGGTCCTTAG